CCAGGTTCACCTTTTGAAGGGTGGACCTGTTGGCTGTCCCAAGAAAGAAGGAAGGATGGGGAAGCTCTGAAGGTCACAGAGGTCACAGAGACCTCACTTCTGCCTGTGAGGTGTTAAGCCTTTTTTAAAATTGGTATTTTAATGAAAGTTTATAAGTAACTTGGATTTCCATTCATTCATTGTTGCACATTTTCCTTCCTGTCCCCCTTCCCCCTAATTTGCTTTTTTCTTTGGAAAAAAAAGTCTTTCATTGTCATACAGTTCCCCCCAGACCACTTTACTGTGCAGCTCTTATTCTGAACTCTTGTCATGCTACTAATACCTAATCACCTATTCCTTTTTTACAGCTCTCTCCCTCATCTGTTTCAATGCCATGTACATTATTTATCCCCTCTTTTCTTAGTTTCCCCTAAGCTCCCACGTCAGTCCTGTTTTATAACAACAGCATTAGGTGGTATTTGTCTTTTTGTAACTGAGATACTTCACTCAGCATAATGTCCTCCAGGGTCACCCATTTTGAATAATATTGCATAAGTTCCTTGTTTTTCAATGCATCATAGTAGTCCATTGTGTGAATATACCAGAGCTTCTCTATCCATTCGTTTGTTGATGGGCACTTGGGCTGTTTCCAACTCTTTGCTATTGTGAACAGAGCCGCGATAAACATGGGTATGCAGTGGTAAGTCTTTATAACAATGTTATGGATTGAATCATATTCTATTCTTGTTGTTAGGTACTAGTGAGTCCTTTCTGGCTCATACAATGTCCCTTAGAGCAGAATGAAACATTGCCTGGCCTCACCTCACCCTCATACTTGCCGCCACGTCTGAGCCATTGTCTCAGTCACTGTGCTAACCCACCTTTCTGTGGGTCTTGCTCTTTTTCATTGACCAGGTGGGGCATTCTTCTCGGGGACTGGTCTCCTGACAACATGTCCAAAGCACACGTCATGAAGGATCATTCTGGTCTACATCTTTCAAGGCAGATTTCAGGCCTGTGATCTTCCCTGCTGATTATTTAGCACATGCAGGCTCATGAGGGGAGACGACTGCCAATACAATGGCTCGGTCAGCGTGTACTTAATCCTCTTGGAAATAAAGAACACTTTAAAGAGGTCCTTTGCAATACATCATTTCATTTTTTAAATTAATTTTAATGAAAGTTTCCAGAGATTTAGGGTTTCCATTTATTCATTGTTGTACATTGTTTCATTTCTTAACTGCTGTTTCCATGGGCTTTGATTTTGAACCCAAGTAAAAATCTACTCTCCCTGTGGTTTTAATCCTAGTTGGGAAAAGGGTGTTCTTTGTGATGTTGACGAGGTACGATGCGTGTAAGGTGCTTCTGAAAGAAGGAAGAGTGGGCTAAGCAAGCAGCGAGGAAGCACAAATGGGTGAGGAAGCTCCAAGGCACGTGACCTCCCAGGAATAGAAGCTGAAGAGGAGTCAAGGCCCCTTCCCAAGGGCAGAGAGGGAGGTAGCCATTCCCAGCCATGGTGCCCAGGATTCAGACTTCCAGCCCTCCGGACTGTGAAAAAATGGATTTCTGTTTGTGGAAGCCCCCACTTGTGGTATTTCTGTTAAAGTAGCAACAGATAACTAATATATACAATGTATCTCAGACAACTCAGAACTGAAATAAGATCATATATGCCAGTTCCGGAGGGGAGTTTATTGCTCTCTTTATTAATAGCTAGCGCTCACCTAGTACATAGGCTTTGGACATTATTCCAAGTTGCATGGAAAAAAAGAAGATTCTATGATTTTTCTTTTCTGAAAAGGAAACCGAAGAGGAGGGTGAAACAACTCGCCCATTGGTCACTCAGAGAAGAAGAAGAGAGCTTTGAACTCAGTTTGTCTCCAAAATCCACACTCTTGACAATGACCCCAGCTTTCTGTATGACTTGGTTGTTTCATTAAGACAAAAGTGTGAACAAAAATGAAAATACCTTGACAACTACTGAGAAAAGCATAGTGAAATACATCAGGAGGTTCTTAGATATGTTAGGACCCAGATGAAAATGACTGTTTCTGCCCAAGTAAAACCTCCATGCAGGTGACTCACACACATATAATGCTCATAAGACACTGATGCTGGTGTGTGTGTGTGTGTATCTTTGGTTTTCTAAAACTGTATATAATGTGTGTACTTTGCATACAAATAGTAGATTCCACGGTAAGAATGCGATGAAGGTTGGGGATGGCATGGTAAAGGTGGTAGTGACACTGAACTAGGCCTTGCTGGACAGTGGGCATGCCTGCGCTGGAGGGTGACATTCCAGCTAAGGGAAATTCATGTGTAAAGGTACAGATTTAGGAACGTTCAAGAGCATTGCATGAAGAGTGTTGAATAATTCTGTTTGGTTATCACATGAGGGGACAATCTGGTGAGGGACATAGAATAGAACCTCGAAAGAGAGGGTGAGAGATGAGATTCAATTTGGAGAGCAAGAAATGCCATTGGAGGAACACCCGGAATGACACTGTAGAAGGGTTTTAGGGGTGTAGGATGGGCAGAAGGACGATGGCTGGAGATGAGGGTGCCCTAAGTTGTCCTGAGCTCAAATCTAACTGACAGTCACTGGGGGCCAAACAAAGATGGCAGAAAGGCACGAGGCTAGGAGAGGACACATCCGAAGGGTCAGGAAGCAGTCTTCTATTCCACATAAATTACCAGGTCTTTGTTGCGCACCTGCAGATCAACAAGCCTGCCTTCCAACGTGCTGCAGCATGGGTTCAAACCACCAGCCTTTCAGCTAGGAGTCAAGTGGTTATCTCTGCCACCCACAGACTCTGCTGGTGAACAGAACATATTTCTCTGCCCTTATGACAAGTGCATTCTAGTGGAGGGGTACAGATTTTTAAAAAACAAACCAAAACAACAACCAGAGATAAGTAAAACATGCATTCAGTGGTGGATGAATGAAAGATGGATGATGAGAAATGGTGGTGCGTGCTTTGGAAACCAATGCTGGGGAGCTGTGCTCCTGTTCCTGTCTGGAGGTGGGGTGTCAAGGGGAGCCTCACTGTAGTGGGACATTGCTAAAGCTCTGTGGGGGCCTGGATGCTGAGGGTCTACCTCTAAATGGCCAGTCATGACTCACCAGAAGGAAGACCAGGAAGACAGGTGGGGTCCATGGGGGGGCACATGGGGTCTGGTGCCCAACAGCTCCAGCTAATTCCGTATATGAACCAGAGCCTGGAGTGTGAAGCACGCAGACATGAAAGTCATTGTACGTAGGTGACAGTGGAGGTATTTTGGAGAGAACTCTGGTGGTGCAGCGGTAAGGCACTTGACTGTTTACCTAAAGGTTGGCAATTTGAACTCACCAGCCACTGCACAGGAGAAAGACATGGCAGTGTCTGCCTTAAAGGGCTTGTCTTTGGACTGCTCCCTGGGGGGAGGTTCTGTTCTACTCTCAGGATCGCTGGGGTAGACTCATGGCAAAGGCTGGATTCCATGGTCTTTTAAAAGATCTGTTTTGGAGTCTTTGGGTGACGCCAACAGCATATGTCCTCAGCTCCTGACTGAAAGCCTGGTAGCAGAGGCGCACCTTGGAAATAAGGCCTGGTGACCCACTCGTAAAAAATCCTCCAGGTGGCTTTGGACAGAGCTGTGAGGCTCGGGTCTGTGCTAGCACACATGCTCAACTCACAGCAACTTGTTTTGCGGTGGTTTTAGATGTGTTTTAGCAGCTAAGATCAGGGAGAGAGAATAAAATCTAACACCCAAGGTGCCCCGAGTGCGTGCCAGGCACTCCACCAGACGTCACACTCCACCAACGCCTGCAGTCCCCAGGACACCCCTGCAAAGTGTCATCAATCCACCAACAAAGAAAAGCAGCCATTGTCACTTAGGAAGTGCCCGCTGCCTCACATGCTTCACACCACTTCACCACTTCACTGTTAGTCCTTATGATTCGCTTTGTTGGCCTCCTTTGGTGGGGTGCAAAGGTGGGTCTTTGAGCTGAAGGGGCCCACGGCCTCAGGCAGAGGCAAAGCTGGGCAGCCTGGCCATGGAGGAAAGGCCAGTCTGTGCTCTGCCAGCCTCCAGCAGCCTCCCGGCTCTCCGAGGAAAGGCCAGCTAAGACCAGCACTTGGGGGGACACCTTGCTTTTTATTGTTTGGGGTTCCCCGCCTCATTGGGAGAGGGTTCCAGAGGGCTTGGAGAAACGCGCGGAAAACCCGGTGGGCAGGTAGCAGGCTGGATCTGGTGTCCCAGCTGCGGAGTGTTGGCCGTCACATGTGGTCACTCACAAATGACCAGAGCTGGGCACCCAAGGCTCTGGATCTCTCAGAGCAAATGAAGACGCTAATAACGATTGAAGCCCACCAGCAACCCCCTCCCACGACGGAAGGCTGAGGACGTCCTGGCTGCAGTCTCCTGTCCCCTGAGCGGCCAGGATTCTGATCAAGTCACTTAACCTCTGTGACCTCCCAGGTGTCCGGTCAGACCAGCCTGTTGATACACGCTGAGCGCTGACCCAAGAGGCCCGGTGGGGCTGCAGGGTGTGCACAGTGGGCAGTGGGAGCCTTCAGGGTGGTCGCCCCAGGTGATCAGGTCACAGAAGCGCGGGGCGCAGTGGGTGACCCTGGAACTCTCTCCTGGAACCCGATCAGGGCGGTTTGCAGAACAGGCTGCTGGCAGCGCCGAATGCAGCTGGGCGCCAGGCCGAGCTGTGCCCGTCACTCGCAGTCTGGGCACGGCTCCTGGCGCGCGGGGACCCTGCGCTCGGGGGCGATCGGGCGGCGGGAGACGCGCTCGCAGACGC